AGCAAGCTGACAGGCTGCTGGGTCAGGGCTTTTATCTAATAAAAGGGAGACTGCAGATTCTGTACAGTAATCTGTTTCTCTTCGGTACTCCTGCTTGGGTTTTGGCAACCACTGAAACACTGTCACGTACATTTACATAAGCAAATGAATGTGAGCCTGTAACATGAATATAAAGACAAGGTAAAAACACAACATACAAATACCGCCAAGCTTTGCAAACACCAGTGATGCAAAATTATGTGTGTGTGTTTGTCTGTGTTTGTGTCAAACCTCCTGGAGGTGCCAGCCGGTCTTGGAACAGATGGAAAGCAACCAGTGTGGATAAAAACACTGTTACTCATCGTCTCCTGTCGTCCTCTCGCTGTCTGTCTTTTTCTCAGCAGAATGAGGTCACATCATTTCCTTATGTATCTTACCAGAGACACAGTACATCAGGTGCTGAGCTGTGTTATTTTTAAGTGTCGGTTTAACATATTTTCTCACTTTCCTCAAGTGGCCTATAGTCTTAGTTTTATGTGAACAGGTACGCTCAGCTGCCAGTTTGTTATGTACACCTACAGCTAAAAGAAGTGCAGTGTAATGTAGTCGTGGATAAACCTGTTTTAGATTTAAGCCTAGTTCACACTGATACGATTTTATCTAGTATGCTAAATATCTGGAGCTGTCTGCGACTCCACATCCATATCCAGCCAATGACAGAATGCGGCAGACAGTGCAAGTAGCTACTTTTTCATTACAAAACATTTTTTACTCACCTCAAACTCTATGGAGCACAGACCTCCCACATGGGGTGGCATGGCAGCCCTGTGGACACTGTGGCCTCACAGTAACAAGACCCCAGCCTGTTCGCCCTGTGTCTGTGTGCTCCTTTTCTTGACAAAATGTGGTTTGGAAACCTGAGTCATCGTCAGCTTGTGCAGTGTGTGACCCCCTGTCGCCAATCAGTCACGTAGTGTGAACACGACAACGGCTTTAAGACTCCCAATTAACAAGACAGCAATTCGTATAGCCTTAACAGCACAGCGATTTGCCAGTGTTTCCAGGCATTAGATGAGTCAACTTTATGATAATTTCTGAGGCTGTAGTTTATAGTGCTGATGGACTGTACTGTTCTATACTACAACATACCCTTTTGGATAAAATTTAAGCTTACAAAGCAACCTGAGATAACTTATAGAGCTTTAAAAAGTCTAAACTATTTGTGCCAACAATGCAAATGTAATAGTCAAAAAACCTTTATGTCAAGGTGAACACTTAACTAGCTAACCCCCAGGCATAGGATTGACTTACAGTACTGTTTTTAGTGGATTAAGAGTTAAGATTGGTACAGTAACTGACATCTAATTTAACATGACCCACCTTTGTAGCAGTGTTAGCAATTCAGCTCTTTCAAATGTAAAATATTTTGAATAAGTTTGTGTACATTTGCCCTATCCCTGTAGTTGCATTTCTGTTTTTTATCTGCAACAATCCAGACAGTCAGCTCTGTCAGAAGAGAGTCAGGACTCACAAGGAGCTGGGACGCAGAGCAGTGTGTTGTTATCCTGACATCCTGCTTCAAATATATTGCGAAACCAGTTCCCATATCTCTACCCAAACATCATAAACTAGCACATGAAGAAGAGTCTGACTGCAGTTTCCTCCCAGTTCATTTTGTTCGGTACCGTTTTCCAAGCTTAAGGAACCGCTTGTTATGTCAACATTCATGTCCTTACTAACTTGGTGTTTTCAAGTAGCTTCCTTTCGTTGTCTCCTTTAGTCAAATGCGTTACTGTTCTCTTTGAGGAGGGCTCAGACTCACATAATCTTAAGTCTTTTTGGCATTTTGCCTGTTTTATTGGAAAATCCTGCCATATGGTTTGTATGCGGTTGGCATGTTCTTCCATTGCTGACTACAAAGGTGCCAATATTTCTACTGCTGCCTGCTACATACATATTTGATCTCTAATAATAAACCACTCAGTTTTTATTGAAAAAAATGACCCGATCATTGCAGCTCATGAATTACAGTGGCCCTCAGGGGATAGGAGTCTCATTTACACCCTTTAGTCTGACAGGTCAATGAAAAATGTGTGAGCAAGTTGAAAGAGAAAAATGGATGCTTGTTAATATGAATGCATTTTCTCCCATCGTTTTTCATTTCATATACATTTTCTAAACTACCTTGGTAGCATTTAAACTCCTACCACATCCAGTACACTTCGAGCATCTACATGCAGATTTAATTAATTTTCAGTGTCAAATAAATGTGTCTACACAATCGCTGCCACCCTCCTTCCGCCCCCTTCATCCCTCGTCCTCCTTCCTACACAGGACTGGTGTCACGATGGTTACAGCAGTATGATATTTATCTATAAATAACTAACAGAGCTTAGTGAAGTCTCCTGGGAACATTTAAAGAGCTTCTTCAGACAGTCTGGCAGCACTTTAGAAGAGCAGCTCAGTTCAATCAGAGAAAATCTGCTGCCAAAAAGAAGTGAAAGGATATTTTGTATTCAGTGAAAACGTGTCCTTTTTGTATGAAATGAAAGAAGAGAAAACTGTGAAATAAAGAAATTATTCTTTTAATCTTATCTTTCCCATTCAAAATCAGGAAGTGCTTTCTTTTTCAAACCAACAACTTCACCTCAGTACAAACTGATCTTAAAATGAAAGACTTTATATTTGACATTCTGTTCCTCCTACACTGCTATTTAGCATTATTTAGGTGTTATTTAGAGATATTGATGGCCATCAGATAAATAACCTTGAAGAGCTTCCACTAAAAGGTTTTTCCCTCCGTGAAACAGGATGCATCATTTCATCAGAGGGCCATTTAGTTTAATGAAGGACTTTTCTCGCTTTGAAAGGTAATAGCAGCTTGAAAGCTTGGTTCCCCATTTTTATTGAAGATTAATCAGGATGGCCTGATAACATGTTCCGCTACAGTAGACAAAATTGTGAGTTCAGGAATTATCAGGAAGCATAATTTGTTTACTGTTAATAAGTTGTTCCTAGATGATAATGAAGTTATTTGAGAACAGACTAAGACATACTATATTAAAAAATCATTAGATAATGATTCATGAAAAATGGTCAGTCTGTTGATTCATAGGTATTTATGAACTAATTATTAGGTAATTATTCCTTAAGATAGTATGTCTCATTCAGTTCTCTCCTCTAAACAGTCCTCAATTCTGAGATATTCAGAAGCTACTTATTAACAGTTAATTCGTTAGAAGGTATTTCCTGATTTGTTCCTCACTCGTTCCGTAGGAACTACTCACAGTTTTGTGTACCACAGTGTAAATGATGACGGTTAGAGAGAGACGATCTGTAACCCCAAAGTCAAATGACATTCAGGGCTTTTAAATGCTCACTAAAACTTTCATTATAATCACAGTAAGGCAAAACATTAAACACCATTTAGCATTGGTCTTCTGTAACGTTGTCGGACTCATGATGGGCAGTGGAAAAAGAAGGTCTAAATTAATCTTTTGTATTACTTTCATTTTTCATGTCAGTGTGGTCCGACATTTGGGTAGGTTATGCTAGTAGCAACTAATGCCAGCTGATACCATGGATTGCTGGCCTCAAGCAGAGATGAGGAGCGGATTACAGAGGTCATGTTTTCACCTCTCAAGCTGCCAAGTAAACATCACTTATCAGATTTAGTACAGTTTCCTCTGCTACCACAAAAGTCTATATACAATGTATTAAAGCATACATTCTGCTCCTCAAGACTTTTAGGGTTGTAATTAAGTAATGATATTTGAACTTGTCTGGATTACACATTAATCTTTTAAACTATTTGTAGTACAATATGCTGCATAGTCTGCGTGCCTCATTGCTAGCAACTGTAAATAGGTTTTCACCACAATACAAACTAAGAGTAAACTTGAAAATGCTCTCTAAATTGATCAATATGTAAACACATTAATTTTTATTCTTACAGTGTATTCCTTTTCCCTGTTACCTACTAACGTTTTGGTACTCTAGTATTCTGGTGTCCAGACATGTGTATGTACGTACACATGTATATCACTCCAGTTCTGAGGTCTTTACACTGGCTTCCTGTCTGTCAGCACTGAATGGTTTAGGGCCAAAATACATAAATACATTTCTGATCTTCTGCTTCGTTATGAACCATCCAGACCTCTCAGGTCGTCTGGAGCAGGTCTGCTTTCTGTCCCCAGAGTCAAAACTAAACAAGGAGAAACAGCGTTCAGTTTTTATGCTCCGTATATCTGGAACAAACTCCTGAAACTCTCAGTTCTTTCAAATCAGGACTGAAGACTTTTCTTTTTACCACTGCCTTTAATTAGATCAAATGTAAGGCTGTGGATTAATGTCGTGCACTGCACTGTGCCTTTTACTGTCCTGTTTTACCCTGTTTCTATTTCTTATTTAACTCTTTAAAATGTATTTTACCCTGTTTTATTTTCTATTCCACCCTTTTAAAAATTATATTTTAATGTGGGTTTTTTTTCAGTTTCCTTTTGCTGCTGTTGTGTAATGTTTTGTGTAAAGCACTTTGAATTGACTTGTTGTAGAAATGTGCTATACAAATAAACCTGCCATGCCTTATGTATCTGTGTATGCATGTGTGAACATGCAAATGCTTTAATTAAACTTATTACCGCAATGATACCACCCCTGATGTTGTTATAACACCTTCAAATTAGAACTGTGGATGCTTTATAACTGGAAGATTTGTGATTGGGCTTTATGACAAATCACAGAGCGGATCTTTAATTTGGATGTTCAGGAACCATGTGTGAAAATGCAGTAAGTGTGTCCTGAAGAAGAGCCCCTGAACAAAACACTGGAAGTGAATCAGCTAAAATATAAATGATTTCATGTAAAATGTGTACTCTTCCTGACATTAAAGGAGAATTGTTTCCAGAAGTTTAAGATGCCATAATAAGCAAATAAATCAGCCTTGTTAATCTTAAATTAACTCTTAGCTAATTAACTCTCTCTCTCTCTCTGTCTCTGTCTCTCTCTCTCTCTCTCTCTCTCATAGGTGCTCTCCCAGTCGTTGTGAACATGGCGGCCACTGCAGTCAGTCCTGGACCGTCTTCCACTGTAACTGCTCTGACAGCGGCTACAGCGGAGCGACCTGCCACAGCTGTAAGTCACCTGTCAGCCAAATATCAGCAAACCAAATGAAGAAAGACAGGGACATATAGACAGGTAGAGAGGTGAGATGGGGCTTATGTAATAAAATTCAGAAATGAGGCAGTGTGACTGAACAGAATAATGAGGATTTTTTTTTCAACTCAGAGGCAGAGCAAACACAGGAAGACGGAATTAAATAAAACATCATGTGGCAAAAACCCATTAAACAAAGATAATAAAATCAGGTTTATTTGTATGGCATATTTTAAATGGCAATCAAAGTGCTTCATACAATATGCAATAAAAAAACATTAAACAGTAATCACAGAAAACATTCTAATGGTTATCACTGACCATGCCTCCTATTTGTTTGACTGAATGACGGGCATATAATTAGCAAAACCAACAGGTGAGCCAAACTTATTCTGGAAGAAAAAACAAAGGCAAACTGAAATATTATTACCAGAACTGCCTATGGTAAACAGACCAACTTTCCGGCTCAAATTGGACCTTTGGTTCTTACCGTAGCTGTGCATGTACTTTTTCCTGTGCAATGAGGGAATACTGCCAAAATTTTACCTTCAACTACATTAATTTGGGTAAATAGGTTACTGTCTTTTCTTTTTTTTAATACAATCTTCTGACCACATATGTTTTTTGCTTTATTGGATCATGTTTAAGAGATTTTTCCCCGATCTCGGCAATTACTTTGGTTGGTGCCACATTGATATAACAAATACAAATGGAGATACTGAAATACCTAAACTGGAATCAACCTTTAAGTAGACGACCCCATGTGAGCTCTGTTTGATATCTGCACATCCTTTCTTTCAAATTAAGGTTACAGTATTATAAAATCTGCTTGAATGTGAGTGATATGATGGAAGTTAATGATACTGTAGCTGTGACTAAAGTGCCAAATGCCCAATAAATAAATGACAATGAAGATTTACCGGTTTGGATGCCGAACCCCTCGAGTCAAGCCCTTGAGACCAAAGGAGGAAAGTTTACCACGCAGTTCACTCCTGGTATCATTTTTATTGCTGATGTTTCTGTGAAAACCTTTTTCTAACCACACTGAGGGAATGTGATAAATGAAAGGCCCCTGGCTGTGGAGAAGAAGCGAGATAAACAGGTGAGCAGATTGTGGGAACCTTTAGATATGGATTTGACTCGAAGGACTCAATTCTTTGACTGCAGAGGATGCACTGGTGTGTGTGTGGGGGGGGGGACAGAGAGGAGGGAGGAAGACTTATGGAGATAGAGAGGAAGAGGCAGGGCTGATAAAGGTCTAAAGTTTTATTTATTGAAACTTTGTACTCCCATCAGTCATACTATCCTCTCCAGCTGGAGTAATCTGTACTTTATGGGGCTCGGTGGTGATACATACGTATGAAGCAGCACCCATAATCCTCCACAGTGTGTATCTTCTTCCCCTCACAACTCCTCTGTGTGTGTCTAAAGTGCTGATGTTGATGTGATTCATGCTGGAGCTGATCTCATTCATTTCCTCCCAGCTGTGTACGAACAGTCGTGCGAGGCGTACAAACACAACGGCAACACGTCGGGACATTTTTATATCGACGTGGACGGCAGCGGACCAATCAAACCGCAGCTGGTCTACTGCAACATGACAGGTGAGACACACACACACACACACACCAACTCCCCTCATCCTCGTATCACTAAACTTTTAACATAATTCGAACTGATGATGTTCCTCTCATCACGCTCTGACCCACATTATCATCCATCCCTTCTTTTTCTTCAATGTTGTGTCATTTGTTTAATCACATAGATAATGAATAATGATGGCACGCTTCCTCTTTTTCTGTCTCACTGCTTCATATACTTTGCATATGTGTATTAATCTTCATTGTTTTAAAGTTCATGCCCACACATTTCCTTTGGCATTTGCACTCAGGAGCCAAATATCACCTCCTTCTCTGAAGACCAAGTTAGTATTTATAAGTAGGCCAATAGTGACACAATTAAATGGCCACACAGTTTATTAGGTTATTTTTCAGATTATTCATCCGAACTCACGCAGTTAGAAGCAGTTTTTCCCAGATCAGTAGCTACTGAAGCATCGACCAATCACTGGAGCTGGTTGAAGGAATCGTTCTGTATTTTGGAGAACACTGTAGGGTTTTTCACTCTCTTGCTAAGAGTTAGACGATAAGATAAATACCTGTTCTCTAAAGATGGAGCTAGAACCAGGAAGTTAAAGCTCATTTGTTAACATAATATATCTAATTTGATTTATCCATACCAAAAACTGAAAAGTAAAAGCTACAGTATATGTGCCTAGTATAACATCTTGCCAATGGACTACAGTTGAAAATTAGCCTGCTGGCTAACACTGGCACATTTACAGAAATGTTTATTAATGTGCACTGTCCTTAAATAAATAAATAAATGAAATGAAATGAAAGAATGGTTATACATTTCAGTTTGTGTACAGTGTGCTAATTAGTGAGCCTTAAAAGTGCTAGAAGGTGTATTTTGGGGCTAGCTGCTTCCCTTTGCTTCCAGTCCTTGTGCTAAGCTAAGCTAACCGGCTGTAACTTCATATTTAATGTACAGATATATGTGGTATCAATCTTCTCCCCTAACTCTTGGTAAGAAAAATAATATGCCATAATATTCCCAAAATGGCAAATTATTCCTTTAAGTCTGAGTGAGAAGTTGAGATATAAGATGGTCATTTTCTAGTAAGGACTCTGTAGATGTAGACTACCGCTCTATGCATTAAAGGGGTAATGGCTGTTCTTGCTAAGGCAAGTGTATGATACAACATACTGTTTATGACAAAAGAGAAAGTATGAATTAGCAAATGCAAATGAATCAGTAGAAGCAACTAATCAGCATCATCAGTAATGAATATTAATGTATCTATCCCCCACCAGAGGAGAACACATGGATGGTGATCCAGCACAACAACACAGAGCTCACAAGAGTCCAACTGTCCCCAGGGGGACACCAGCATTTAGTCCACTTTGACTACTCTTCTGAAGAGGAGCAGCTATTGGCCGCCATCAGCCAATCAGAGCACTGCGAACAGGAACTGTCCTACCAGTGTAAGAAGTCCCGCCTCCTCAACACTCCGGGTAAGGGACTCCCAAAAAACTTTATTATATACTGAAATTAAATATATATATATATATATATATATATATATATATATATATATATATATAATAAACAACAGTTTGCAATGTGTTATCACTGAAAGACAACATCCTTCTATAAGCGAGGAATCTTTGTGTGTCTGTATATATATTAGCTGTTAAGGTCAGTGGAGGTGATACAGAGAGACATGGTGATGATGATCCCAGTCATGGTGATGAGGAAAAATAAAATTAGAAATGGATTATTGTTAGTCATATTTATTACTGATGTTCTTTTCATGCATATATAGCTGTAAAATCAGCAGAGGCAGAGCCCAGCACAGGGGAAGCTGAGCCAGATATAGGCCTCCTCAAAGCTGAAGATGAGGGATTTGATTTTTATGCAAACACAGTTTAAATGGCAGATGGTGGTGCTGCAAATTCAGACATGGGAACGAATCAAAAGCATCAGAACAGCATCAAACTTTACTGAACTGCTGTGGCTGGACCGGGCAAAGAAAGGCACTGTGCACATGAAAAACGCTAAGCAACAACATTAATATATTCAACATATAGCCGAGCTTTTTACAGAAAATATTCAGATGTAACCCCCGATGTTATCATGAACATTTTCCCCAGTAACTGTAACATATTAGTTACAGTTCATTTGTAATTAAATTATGTAACTAAATTACTTGTATATAGTTACTTCCCAACACTGCTTACTGGAATATAATATTCATAACAGGCCTAAACTAGTCGTAAACTATACAGTATATGAGAATGTATTGAATATGCTGTGATTATGTAAGTAATATAGTAACATTATACTAACAGCTGACTTGAATAACATCAGGTCCAGTGCAGCTGACCTGCCTCCCAGTCGCACATTCATGCCAAGGATGGTGCGTTCAGTAACTCAGTACTCTGTCATTTACACTGTAGACGCTGGGGAAATGTCCCCACCACTTTTTAAAATGGCTGATTTTGGCCACATTTTGTTAGCATTTGTTAAAAACGTTCTGAAAAACAGCTTGCACCAAGAAATGGTAACTGACAAATGAAAATGCTTTGAGAAAAGGTTTATTTGCACAATAAGAAAACATGCAATGCAGTATAGCTTTCCTTCATATAAAAACAAGACATTCCCATCGTAAATTGGAGCAGAAAATGTCTCCAGAATGCAGTAAATTATTTAATGCTAAAATCTTCTGGTTGAGGACCCCCAGACCCCCCTCACATATATTTCTGCATCAAATATTTAATCTAAATAGTGCTAAAAATTTTCTTGTCTTGTTCTCGTGCATCGTCACGTCTCATGACACAAATGTATCATCACCCCCCTGATCTGAGCCCTTATGTCTCCACCACTTTTCAACAAAAAGTGACGCACTTTACTGACCCGCTCCGCTCTAGTAGGCCTACTTATACTCTCCACCAATTAGTGAACACTTTTGTAAGGCATTGTAAGCTTGCTACATTCTCATTAGGGGCTGAGCACCCCGAAAGGTCTGATCCTAGAATCGCCCCTGCAGGGAACCCTGATGAGTTTCTGGTTTCACACTGTGTTGTTACTCATATTTTAACAAATTTTGTCATTGACTCTGTCTCAAGAACTTGAATCATGTACTCTACTGGAGCCAAATTTGATTTTATTCCATTCTGTGTTTGTGATTTTACTTAATCTAATCTGTGTCCTTTAACTCTTATTTAATCTTAACTTGGAGAGAGTATTCAAGCATTTTATTTACTCAATTTCCCTCAATACCCCTCAAGTGCACATTTAAATAAGAGAAGGCAGAAACAATACTTGTACCTAATTGACTTGCTGGGTTAAATCAAAGTTAATGAAAGCTTGGTTAATCAGGCTCTCTTCAGCTCGGACTCTGCACATTATTTTCTTCTCTTTCACAAATGACTGAATCAAATGAAATTGATTGTTAGGGTTTAGTTTAGTACCTGCTATTGACTCAGAGTGAGTATTAAAAAGGAGGGAGAATCACTTTGATCACTAAGTTCCATTGAATTTGTCTTGGTAGCAGTTACTGCAACAGCTTACACTTTCATTCAAATCCATGTACAAGTAAAAGAGAGCATCATTCAGTGTAGTCGCTGTTTGGTACATCAGGGACATATGTACATTTGATCACACACAGTTTTAGCCATGCAAGCAGTATGGCTCTAGGTTTGTCGGTCGGTCCACCCCTTTGATCCAGTCTGAAATAACTCAACTATCTGAGGGATTGCCATGACATTTTGTATTTTGATAACTTTGGAGATCCACTGACTTTTCCTCTAGCGCCATCGTCAGGTCAAAATACTGTTGTTGTCTATTACTTTGGTTATACTATGCTAATTCAGTTCAATTCAAATTAGCTTTATTGGCATGAATGTGTAACAACAATATTGCCAAAGCATCATACATACAACATAAGAACAATCAACCCCATACATTTCATTAAACAAGTAATTAAAGCGTGTTTGTGTTAGAAAAATTAAACTATATAAAAAATTAAAATAAAATTAATAAATAAAACAGTAAGCGTGTGTGTGCTAATGATTACTCCCATAATCATTATCAAATGTTGGAATGCTAACATACTTATCTAAGATAGTGAACCTGGTAAACACCAGCAGGTTGGCATGCTAAAGTTAGCATTTAGCTCAAAGCACCGCTGTAACTATGAATAGTTCTGAAACTGTGAAATTATTTATTAGTCAGTGGACAGAAAAAAGTAATCGACCACAATTTAGATAACTCAATAACCGGTCATTTATAAAGCATTCTTTTGCTTGCCAGTTGTCCAGTTGACATCCTTACAACTAGTGAGGACACATCTTTCTCTCTCCTGTGGAGCTACATAGACTATAAAAGAGGGAAGCAACTTTTTGAGGTGGCAGGTAATAATATGATGGATGAAAATAGTCAAAGTGGTAGAAAAGGAAGAATGGGTAGAGAAATACAAGTTCCATTATTAACTCCCTGCTGCTCTCTGGGAAAGAAAGAAGTGCTGACTCAACAGAGACCTTTCCAATCACCTTCTCTCACTCCTCTCCACCTACACAATCTCATAGTGCAAAATACATTTTTCACTGTATACTAGCATTGCCCTCCATCCAAAACAATATATTCAGTGTTGGGGGCAGGGGCTGGCAAACATCCCTGCACTTAAAACACTGGATTCATCTTGAGAGGCTAAGAGATACAGCACTCTGCTATTTTCACACATGGCATCCCTCAGACAGATTTTCACTGCTTTGGTTTTCCTTTTTATGACCTGATATAGTTTTAAATTAAGTATGTGCACAATTCTATTTATTACCAGAGAGATTACAGAAACATTCAGTAAAATTACTTCAAAGGATGCTGGTACCACTAACAATTGATCAAGTCGTTCTCCCAGCTTCGTTCTTGAGGCTTAAATCTGTGAGAAAAAAAAGTTGTTTGAAAATTGGGAAGCTTTTATGGCTGATAAAACAGTGAATTTTGATCATCCATAAGTAGTCCAGCTGAGGTTTACTAACTTTAACTTAGCTAACCTTTCAGTTCAGCTAACCTAACCGTTCAGTGTTGAAGTAGACTGAATAAGAACGTTGTTGGACATCTTTAGAGACGTTAAGGGTTTGTTTGCTCGTGCGTGTTTCAGATGGCTCGCCGTTGAGCTGGTGGCTCGGTGGTCCCGGTCCTGGTCGTGTCCAGACTTACTGGGGCGGCGCTCAGCCAGGCAGCCAGCAGTGTGCCTGCGGCCTGCAGGGCGACTGTGTGGACCCACAACACTACTGCAACTGTGACGCCGACCGCGTCGAGTGGTACTGAGCTTTATATATATACAGACATGATTATTTTTACTGCATAAACACAAATGTGTGCCAATTAACTCTTGTTTATGTTTTTATTTGGATTGACACGTCACTGAAACCAGTCAAGTTTGATACACTGTGTGAAAACGTCCTTTACATTATAATGCAATCCAATATTTGCAACAGCTTTGCAGTGGAGTTTATCTTTGTGAAACTTACGTTAAAAGTAGGTTAAAAATGCAACACATATTAACAGAATTGTAAGAATAACCACAAGAATGAAAAATAATACTACACTACTGAAAGGACATGAAGTTGCTGCCTCTTAAGCACAAGCTCTGAGGGAAAACTAGTTCAACCTTTTTTTTTTAATATGTGTTATATTGTGACCAATGCTGTCAAGTCTTCTTCACACCTCAGTTCCTTCTTTCTATAATCTTTCGACCCAAACTGTCAAACTTTCAGTTACATTTTTTACAGACCATTCATCAGATCCTCAGAGGGCTGTGAGAATACGCAACTCGCTTCCAATCCTGGAAAATTCTCACCTGACAACAAGATTGACGTGTAGATTATCAGAAGTGCATAAAGCTGAACATGGGTGTAAATGGGCAGCGCTGCTCACCCAGCTGTCTGTCTGGACTGCTCTTCTGAAAAATAGTCACAAATATTGGCGATGTTTAACACTCTTGTCTCAGGTCATACGATCTGGCTCACTATTAAAATGTCTTCCTGGAAAATTTGTCGAAGACACTGCACATGTCCTAGTTCAGCAGTGCAATTTGCTGCTATGTTTCTGCAAGCAAATAAGCATAATTAAAGTGTATTTTTCCTTAGATGATTTCTACTACTACTTCATCTCATTGTCCTCCTTCTTTAACTCCCTCTTCTCCTTCCACTGCTTTTGTTTCTTGGTTCCTTTTCTTTCCTTTTGTTCTTTTTTCATGTCTTCTTCTCCTTCTTCTGTTACTTCTTTCCTGTACTTGTCCTATTCCTTATCCTTTCATTTTCTCTTTCCTCTCCCTTTCTCCTTCTTTATTGCTTCCGCTTTGTCTCATATTCTTATAATCTCTTCCTCTTTTTCCTCCATCTCTTCCATTTTCCCTTTTCATGTTTTTGTCTTTTTGTGCAACCCTCTTCCGCTTGCTTCTTCATCTCATCCCCTCTTTTGCTTCCTTCTCATTCACTTTCACCCCTTATGTTTTTTATCTCTTCCCCTCTTTCTTCTCCTCCTTCTTTTCTCCTCCTTATTGTTCTTTTCCTTTTTTCTCCTCCATTTCTATCTTCTGCCTCCCCTTCCCCCCCCCCCCCCATCCTCCTCCAGGGCTGAAGACTCCGGCCTGCTCATCCACAAGGAGAGCCTCCCTGTCCGGTCTCTGGTGCTGGGTGACCTCCAGAGGCCGGGGTCAGAGGCCGCCTACAGGGTGGGACCCCTCCGTTGTCATGGAGACAGTAAGTCCAGCTCTGTCCAACTGATGGAAGGATTCAAACTAACAAACAAAAAAAGGTTTCTGAACCGGATAAATCCACATTTAGCCACCGTTTTTCAATTAAGCAGCAAATTAATTCATTAATCATCATTAATTCCTCTCAGGCCTATTGTTGGTATGGAAATACAGGATTAGGTGTTTAATATTTTATTGCACCTGCCTTTTTTGTAATAAATGAATTCTTCTGGGCAACTCAACATCTAAAAGATAATTATCATTAGCGGAACTATTTCCTTTTAAGTTTTCACACTCTGACACTTTCTTCTCATTAAATGCATTACAAGGTAAATCAAAGTAGCACGCTGTTTTTCCTTCATTCAATTATTCGTAATTACAGACGCTCCATATCTACCCAAGTAGATGGATAAATCCATGTTTGGCATGATTAATCAAACAAGACCACATAACAGAAATCATACCCTTGTGTAAGCTCATTTAATGAACGTGTTGCCTCATTTGGTTGCTACGTGATTTCCATTTAAAGATCTTGACTGCGAGTTTGCATTGTGTTTTTCAGAGAACTTCTGGAACGCTGCGTTTTTCGACAAGGAGACGTCGTACCTTCACTTTCCCACCTTCCACGGAGAGCTGAGTGCTGATATCTCCTTCCTGTTTAAAACCACGGCCTCGTCTGGTGTGTTCCTGGAAAACCTGGGCATCAAAGACTTCATACGGATCGAACTGAGCTGTAAGTAGGAGCTGAAGGGTGAACATTTAATCCGGATTAGAATGATGTGTCAGTGAAACCTGAGAAGTCAAAGTCTTAATCTGGATCTGTGCAAAACCCCCAGGTTTTACACAGGACATAATCTGTATCAAACTATCCTGGAGGAAAAATATTGTTTATTTTAGGTTGAACTCAGCTGCCTTGACCTTCCTGTCCTGACACAAAGTTTAACAACTTAGTCTCATACTTTACTACATTAACAATCTAACACTTAAAGATTACACCCGTATGTGATTGTAAAACATCATTTTAAATTTGTGGGCATTAATCTGCTGCTGTAACAGCCGCCACTCTTCTGGAAATCCATAACTTCCACAAATGTTTGGAACCTGGCTGCAGGGATTTGTTCCCCTTCAGCCACAAGAGCACGAGTGAAGCTGGCCACTGATGTTGGGTGATAAGGTCTGGCTCACAGTCGGTTTTCCAGTTCATCCCAAAGGTGCTGAATGGGGCTGAGTTCAGTTCACTGAACAGCAGTAAAGCCCCTGAAAACTACAGCAAATATAAAGAGTTAACACTCAAAAACTCATCTGTTTCATCGGAGGTTTCATTTATACACAGTGCGTACGTACAAAACAGGGCTGGAAACGTGCGTACGCCACTTCCCAAGCAAAGGTTGTGATGAAACTTGATGGGAGAATGTGCGGTCCTGTAAATAAACTCTGAGGCATGCGTACGCACATAAAGAGGAGAAAAGAGAAACGGCGACTCACATGGCAGAAGGATGAAACAGTTTGAAATGAATATGCCTACTATTGTGTAAAATAAATCAAAATATTACCTCTGAATATTATAGGCTTAAAGCCTTTTCTGAATAAACAAACACCCATTTGATTGACTTTCCCTGAAGTGCACAAACCCCCCCCACAATTTAAGGTTGTTGCAGCGCACACAAAAGGATCCAGATTTAGGATAATAAACACATACGGAGATATCTGTTTCTGCAAAAGAACGCCTCAAATATGTTGAACAGTTTAATCAGGAATCATATTAATTAATAGACTGCTTGCATGCATAAACGAGGTGAACAGGAGGACAAATTACAATTATGAGCAAATACGAGTGCATAGTTTCATATAGCCTATAGTTATCAGATGTTCATTACCTTATCGAGACAAATGCTGTGCACCATTGTTTGGATGTGATGCGCTGCTTGTAAAAACACGTTACTCAGGAGGGACGCCCGTTCCTGCAGATTTATTATTATAAAGGAGTGGAGCTCCCCTTTCCTCCAGTGCACAAGCGTTTGAGGGAAATGCATTTTTTACCCACCAAACAACATGGTTCAGCTTCACCAAAAAGAACGTCAATGTCACGCTGAGTTAAATTTTGTTTTGTAGCTTTTCTGTCAGAATTTGCCTCCTTTTCTTCCTGCAGTCAGCACGTATTAATATTAATGAGGGTGGTTTCACTGACCATTTATAGGCAACTATGGGCTTTTGAAGGGTCAGCCAGTTATAGCCAGTTTCAGCTAATTGTTTAGGTGTCCAGCCTGTCTGCTGTTTTAGTTCACTCTCAATGCTTACATAGCGGTTTCAGCAGGCAGCTGTTATGTTATAAAAACTCACCACACACTGCCTGTTACGCACCAAACAGCAGACAGGTATACGCAAAGCTAAAACAGAAATACGGCTCCATATGAATAATGTCACGAGGGACATTTGGTGGCCTGGGGGACATTTTCACTGCTGACTACACTAGCATAGCATAAAGACAGATAGCAGGGGGAAATAACTAGGCTATTGAAAACAATACAAATGTCGGTCATATCTCGAAAGAAATTAAAGCAAATGTGAAATCCTGCACTGACAAGAGAAGTTTATTTTCCTTTGCTTCAAGGATGGTTTTGTTACTGAGAAGTAGAGTAGATCAGTTATTCTTTGCTTTACTTAAGGTTTCTGTTATGTGTGTGGATATGCTTTAGAATATGACAGTAATAACCAAGAGGGTATTTTTTACTTTATGGGTACAACAACATTGTGGCTGGTAAGGTGTTATACCTCATTGGTGTGTTGCCATTAAAAATATGGCAGCAAAGCCCACAAGGGTGTTCTTTACCATATAGATATGAGATGCGTGTTTATGGGCACACATGTTATCTGGTGTTTAGTAAGTCATGTACAGATGCTTTGAATCGGTTGTTGGAGTGGTTGCTTTTTGATGCTTAAGCAGTCCATTTCACTATCTTTGGTTTGGTTTAGCTTGCAGTTTTTGTATTGTGCTGCATTTTGCATTTTTATAGGAATGGGATTTGAAGAGACACAAACATAGAATCTAATACAGGGACACTGCAGCCTCTCTCCTCTGGGAAATCAATGTCAGTGTGTTGTTCCAGCTTAGAATACTGCTGCCCTGTTGCCAGCTTCCTCATATGACTCCGTAACATTGAGGCTGAGCCTGAGAACTTTTTCTAAATGAAGTTACCTTATGATGCTGGGATGTTGTTTCATCTTGTTCTATGCTCACAGCGTGATACATCTTCTCCATCCAAAACCTGAAGGATGAGGGTTGTATTCTCCCAACTAAACTCCTTTTGTTGGACTGAACATGACAATGATTTTGTGAGGCTGAGCGCTGCTTGAAAACTTCCAGGTGTTTTAATAAGAAAAGTAAGAAAACCTCATTCAAAATCCCATTGACATTTGTATCAACGCTAATTACTAAAAATCCAACAAAACCTTTCTCAACAGTATTTGGCTTGCCTTACATGTCTACATAAGAATGGTAGACTTTTGAAAAACGATCAATATCGGGTTTTTAAAAAAAATATTTATGTTTAATATTTATGAGTCAAAGGGGTCGCAGTTAGCTCAGACTTGTTCTATAATAACAGCAGGAGAGAGGGAACAATGTTGTAGACATTTTTAGATAGCAGAAATTACTGCTAGGAAGTTAGAAGGGAGTGTTGGTGAATTTTATGCATTAAATAGTTATGTTATGATGATGTAAGTAACCACACTGCCGGTTTCATTTTCTTATAGCAACTGCTGTAGTGCTGATTTGTCTTAGAATATGGAGAGTAAACCTCAGGAACAGTAAATGCTGAATAAAACATCACATGGAATTACTGAAGCTAGTCATGGCTTTAACTGTCTCTGAAAATTTGAAATATAGGAAGGGCTGTTTTGTACCTGGACAGTATTGTCAGAATCATTGTTATCATTATTTCCAGCAAATGCATTTCACTATACATATCAATATTAGATATCCATTTTGCACACCCCTTTTTCCACCTTAATGCACAGACTTACTGCAGTTGATAAAATGCACAGCTTCAACCAATTGTTGTGATTAATCACACATTAGTCAACTGTTCAGCCATGCTGATAACAACCAATCAAATGCAGTTCTGCTCAGTGAAAATGCAGTAAATGTGTTGCTGTTCTGTGGTAACCTTGGTCCAAAGAAAGCCAGGAAGGTCAAATTTGGGCAATGCCTGGTTGGAGCTGGTGGAGCAAACGTAACAGCACACACTTCCAACAGGGAGATTTCAGAAATATTTCCTTTCCGTGGAGGAGCTTTCAACACACCCAATGCATTTTTGCCGTAATTTTTGATGGGAGAGGGCCCTCAGTATATTTTAAATTGGCACCAAGACACACATTAGCAGGTCAAATTGCAAGTCATTATGATCACATTGTCCAACCTATTAACTATATTTCAAGAGGGAACTTGGTAATATCTCAATCACTTTAATACAGTGACTTTAATAAAATACCTAATGGTTATTAAAGGAACGCAGTGTATTTCTGTGAAGAATGTATTTAATACCTGTCTACAAATGAATTATCCCTCAGGGTGATAATGAAGTTGAAGAAAAGGCAAGTGATCAAAAGGCTCATGCAACGGATGTATCACTCAAAATTAGCTTGAAACAGTGTGTCAATCTGAATCTAACTTTTCTTCTGGAAATAAAACATGTTGTTTAATTAAGTAATTTTAATTATGTTAAAAACGGTAGTCTACTGGCCTGATTATTTACTTTATTCAATCCTGACATATTTCTGTTCTGTTCTAATCTCTCCTTTGTTGTTTTTCCCCTTTGTTGCCGTGCTTTCCATGAATCATACCTTTACCTTTGACCCCCGTCTCATCTGTCTCCCTCCCGTCAGCTTCCACTCAGGTGCTTTTCTCCTTTGACGTGGGTAACGGGCCGCTGGAGGTTCGTGTGGAGTCGAGCGCGCCGCTGAACGACAACCGGTGGCATCGAGTCCGAGCTGAGCGGAACGTCAAGGAGGCGTCGCTCCGATTGGATGAACTTCCTGCCGCCACACAGGAGGCTCCTGCTGACGGACACTTCCACCTGCAGCTCAACAGCCAGCTGTTCATAGGTAAGGATGAGATACATATGGACAGTGAACAGTTCCCTCATTAGTAGCGGTACAGAAGACTTCCATCCTTTAGCAAATGTCTCCGTATTTCTCCAACACAGACAGGCATTTATTTGGTGTACATCTTCTTTGTTCTCCAGTTCTCCAGTTTATTGTGTTAAGTGTTTTTCTGTCTGTTGGTAACTCTCCAGTTGTGACAGATGTTCGTCTTTCCAACTACCATTTGCCAATGTTTGGCATATGTCTTCATTATTTCCTTATTTCTGATTGATGCACCAGCAAGTCAGGCAGCAGCCCTCTGTTTTGTGCATAACAATGAAGTCATGTTAAGTTGAATACCAATTAGCAGTGTGTGTCAGCTTTAATAGAGCTCTGACTCTCAACCGTTTTTTATTATGAGTTTTTGCAGGAAGGCAGTCGTGTGCACATCCTGTCCTATATTTAGGGCCAGGTGGAGGATAACAGATACAGCATACTTTAGACATATTTTCTTGGGTGTGTTCATGAGGCAAATGGCCAAGATGACAAAGGACATATAAGCTGCCACCCTGCACTACACCATCACAACCCTTTGGTGACACTTGGTATGGTCATTTCAGGTAAAGACAATAAAAAAAAGGTTTGTTTCTTCCTTGCGCAGGTGCTGCTGTTTGTCTTTGCAGAGATAAAAAGGTAGAAACTCCAACTCCTCTGCATCCTCACACATGCTAAGCTGTTACTGACAAAATGCCACCAAGTGGTACTAAATATGGAAGATGCCAATTTGACATATTTATCAATACAGGCTTTGGCACTGTACCTGCTAGGGAAGTAAAGTTTAGAAATCAGCAGCTCGTAGTACAGCATATGATCCTCCAGAGATATGTGTATCCTTAGAAAAAAACTCTCTTTTCACATATGCTAATCTGTTATCGACTAAATCCTGTTGGCTGATCAGCAGTATTGGCTATAAAAGTGTGCTGAATGTGCACATCTGTTCAGTCGGGTTTCTGCTACCTCTTCATCCAAGGCCCTCACAATGTCCCTTCCTGTCCCCACTTCAGCCACACTTTCCCTGGCTCCTTCAGCGTTACTCCTCACCTGTTCACCAGATGCCCTTTAGACTTTTCTCCTTTCAGTTCAGATCCTGCCACTCCCATCTTCCCTGCAATCACCTCATTACCCTCACCTGAGCTTCCTCGCCCATCTCCCCATCTGCATTGCATTCCCATATCAGCTCTCTTCATATACCAGTCACTTCCTTTAGTCATTTGTCTTAGTTGCTATCTTGCTTTCTGTTTTTGCACTTCTGTAACCCAAACCTGTCTACCTCCATGGCTGTCTGGCTACTTGTAGCCACCTGTAAGATATTTTGGTCATTAAACCACTGATATAATCCTGCCATCCTGACTGCGTTTGGGTTGTGCTTCTGATAGACTGGAAAGACAGATCTCCCACAGAGTACTACATACTAAAAAAGCTAAATAAATATTCTTTAAAAAAGTGCTAAACTGCTGTTGGCTAAATGTCATCAGGTGTTCAGCGCTATTGGAAATGAAAGTGCTGAGTTGATGGTTTCTGGCCACTGACCAATAATCACATTTAATAAGCATGCATCAGAGGGCAGGAGTATATATAGAAATATACAGTAGTATTTAGATATATATAGATATAGATATAGATATATATAGATATATATAGATATAGATATAGTGTAGTGTGTGTGATGTGATTTCTTGTACCTGTACGATATCTCATAGGCAATCAAATTAACCATCTCTAATACAAACTTCATCCATACTGCAGCCCTGTTTATCTCAACTTCATCAGTTCAATTCTATAATTCAGATTCTCTTTGACCTCTCAGTCCATCTGTAGACTTGCAGGAGAGAGAAAAAAAAGAGAATCCATCATTTATTACTAGGTTGTATCATTCTGCAAACATTATGTATGTCACTTCATATCAGTAAACACAGACTGTGGAGGGAAAACAAATCAACAATCATTGACGAGCTATTTTATTCGGCTGTTTATTATGCTTTTTATCTTATGCTGTTCTCAGTATCTGTACAGCACTTTGGGGCAGTGGTGACTGTATGTAAACATGCTATATAAATAAACTTTGACCTTGACCTTGACAAAGGCGGCAGCAGGGAAATCGAGGTAAATATTGATTGGCTGAATGTGTGCAGCCAATAATCTACTTTGAGCCTAAACCCGTATATGGTTGCCTCTAGATTATCAGTACAGTCACTAGATTATATACATCTAAAGGATGTGTGTTTGAAATGAGCTGGTATTTGTTCCCAGATTGATTATGTAGTGGATGATGGTTGTATAATGTTCTGACTTGACTGTCGTCTTGTTGTACGAGGAGCAGTGACTAGACGAGGACTAGCCGTTTGGGGAAAGCAAAAGATAGTTACAGATGTGATTCCTGTAACTGCTAATATGTCCCCCAGCAGCACTATGTTCTGTGATAGTGTCTTTGAGTAAGAAATTGAATATACCTGCGGAGCATCAACTAAATGTTTGAAATCTGAAAATAAGACAGTGTAACACTGAGAGCCCATGAATACAAGAAAAATTAAGAAGCACCAACAACCCTGGTTTTGCTTGAATAGACCATTTTTTAATTAAATCAGGTCTCTCATAAATATTTACATACTATCTTTAAACAACCCAAAGGTGAAAAAACATCTACAGGTCCTTTGCTTACAGTAATTAATCAGTAAAAGTAGAAGGCCACATTACATATAAACACTTTATTGCAACTAGGAATGGGGATCACTATCCACTTCTAAAAGGACCTGGTTCCAAACTTTCTCAAAACCCGAAAATCAATAAGGTCAGAGCTTATTGGATACTGCTATAATGTAACCTTATGTCTTGAGCGTCAAATCTGGTTTCACTTGAAATGCATTGGATAAGAAAGCTAATGTTTATTTACTGATGGCACCGAAACGCGGTATCAAACAGGCAGGCCTACCTCACTCCCGTTGGGTCTGGTTTTACCAAATAACCGTCACCAAATAGTAGTAAAGTAGTAAAGACTCGGATCATTATGCAGTCTCAATAAGGGTATCAATATCAATAAAAATTAACGATCCCCATCCCTAATTGCAACGAAGTATCAAAAACTCATTATCAAAATCTCATTATACACAATTACTTTTTTCAGATATGTATTGATATTCACACACCATGCAAGGTGCCAACTGCTCATCAGAAACTAATCATTCATGGGAGCAATTTGGATTCAGTATCTTGCCTAAGGACACTTGCACATGCAGATTGGAGGAGCCTGAGATCGAAACTCAGATCTTCTGATTAGTGGGCGATCGCTCTACCTCCTGAGCCACAGCCAAGCCTAGTTAACAGTTTTGGTTATTACACACGAGAGATTTCTGGGACTCATTTGGCAGAACGTGCTGCCTTGTGCTTTTTAGCACACACATATCAGAATGAAGCAATATCTCATTGAGAATATAGTATGTATGTGCACAAATTCACAACATGGGCATAAAGCACAGTTGAGCGTTGTCGTAAAGGAGGTCAGGAGTTTGTAGGAGTGTGTGTGTCAGTGTGTTTGGGGAGGGGTCATGAGAGTCAGTGACAGTGGGGACCCGGGCCTTGTTGAGGAGACCCACTGCAATCGGAAAGAAGCTGTTTCTGTGGCGAGAGGTTTTGGTCCTGATGGACCGCAGCCTCCTGCCAGAGGGGAGTGTCTGAAATAGTTTGTGACCAGGGGGGGAGAGGTCAGCTACAATCTTTCCTGCACACCTCAGAGTGCCCCGTTTCAGAAAGCGGATTAGTGAAAATTCTGAGTTTGTTAAGCCTGAGATGAGGGTTTTCTGTTTCAGAGAGCGAGATCAGATAAACCCTAGATCAGTAACTCCTTTGTTTGTTAAGCCTGCTTTCTGAAACGGGGCCCTGGAGGTGTACAGGTTCTGAAGAGATGGAAGGGGACAACCAGTCACCTTCTCTGCAGACCGAATGATACGCTGCAGCCTGCCCATCAGCATCAGATGTACTTTGGTTTGTGCTAATTTGCAGATCTTCACATTCTAACACAGTAAACATGGTGGACATTACCTGCTTTACTTGCATGTTAGCATTGTCATTGTGTGCATGTTAGCCTGCTGATGTTAGCATTTCTCTGAAAGCACTGCTTGAGAGAAAGTACAGCCTCACAGAGCCTCAAGTGTGGCTGTGTGTTTTGTTTTCATTAGGCCCTCCTGACAAGGTAACGCTCATGTCTTTCAAACTCAACTTCCCGAGTTTGGAACACCAACTTTCTTTACACAAAATGGTAGTTTCTAAACCCAAGACCAAGTATTTGGAATTATCAGGCATGCAAACTCCTCACCTTTTCAAATTTGCCGTTTGAAACCAGAATGGGTCACCCACGTGATTTGTGCATTTCCGAAAATATTATGGGGGGTGCCGGGGTCGTTAGTCAGTTATATCTACCGATCCCTCTAGCACGAGCTTTGCAAATTTACAGCTGCACATGCCTAACCAGTCGTCACTCCTAATGGCTAAACCTGACAGCCAATCAAGCAGAGTAGGGGCGTCTTTTTTCAAGTCCGCTACACTGCGCAGTCTGACA